GACATTACCTGAGGGTAAAGGTTGGAAGATGACTTTCCAAGCAAATGGACCCAAGAAACAAGCAGGAGTAGCCATTCTAATATCTGATAAAATAGACTTTCAACCAAAATTAATAAAAAGAGATGGAGAAGGACACTTCATACTCATCAAGGGAAAATTCCACCAGGAAGACATCACAATCCTGAACATCTATGCCCCAAATACAAGAGCACCCACATTTGTAAAAGAAACATTGATAAAATTTAAACCACATATGCATCCCCACAAATTAATAGTGGGAGACTTCAACACCCCACCCTCAACAAAGGACAGGTCAACAAAACAGAAATTAAACAAAGAAACAATATCTCTGACAGAGGTCATGAATCAAATGGACCTCACAGACATTTACAGAACTTTACACCCAAACACAAAAGAATTTACCTTCTTCTCAGCACCTCATGGAACCTTCTCTGAAATAGACCATGGTTGCTCACAAAGCAAGCCTCAACAGATACAAGAAGACTGAAATAATCCCTTGTATCCTGTCTGATCACCATGGAATAAAGCTGGACTTCAACAACAACAGAAATAGCAAAAAAGCCTACACACACATGGAAACTGAACAACTTGTTACTAAATGACAGCTGGGTCAGGGAAGAAATAAAGAAAGAAATTAAAGCCTTTCTAGAACTCAATGAAAATGAAGACACAACATACCCAAACTTGTGGGACACAATGAAAGCAATGCTAAGAGGAAAGTTCATAGCACTAAGTGCCTTCAAGAAGAAATTCGAGACAGCTCATTCAAGCAACTTAATGGCCCACTTAAAAACCCTAGAAAAAGAAGAAGCAGACACACCAAAAAGGAGTAGATGGCTGGAAATAATCAAACTCAGGGCTGAAATCAATCAATTAGAAACAAATAAAACAATTCAAAGAATCAATGAAACCAAGAGCTGGTTCTTTGAGAAAATCAACAAGATTGATAAACCCTTAGCCAAGCTAACTAAAAGGCAGAGAGACACCACCCAAATCAACAAAATCAGAAATGAAAAGGGGGACATAACTACAGACACTGAGGAAATCCAAACAATCATTAGGACTTACTTCAAATTCTATATGCCACAAAATTTGAAAATCTAAATGAAATGGACAATTTTCTTGATCGATTTGACTTACCAAAGCTGAATCAGGACCAGGTAAATCAATTAAATAGTCCTATATCCCCCAAAGAAATAGAAGCAGTCATCAAAAGTCTCCCATCCAAAAAAAGCCCAGGACCAGATGGCTTCAGCGCAGAATTCTACCAGACCTTCAAAGAAGAGCTAACTCCAATTCTCTTCAAACTATTCCACAAAATAGAAACAGAAGGAACATTACCAAACTCATTCTATGAAGCCACAATCACCTTGGTACCTAAACCTCACAAAGACTCAACAAAGAAAGAGAATTTCAGGCCAATCTCCCTTAAGAACATTGATGCAAAAATACTTAACAAAATACTTGCAAACCGAATCCAAGAACACATCAAAGATATTATCCACTATGACCAAGTAGGCTTCATCCCAGGTATGCAGGGGTGGTTCAATATACGGAAATCCATCAATGTGATCCACCATGTTAACAAACTGAAAGAAAAAAACCACATGATAATCTCCGTAGATGCTGAAAAAGCATTTGAAAAAATCCAACATCCATTCATGTTTAAAGTACTGGAGAGATCAGGTATACAAGGCACATATCTAAACATAGTAAAGGCGATATACAGCAAGCCTATAGCCAACATCAAACTCAACGGAGAGAAACTTAAATCAATCCCACTGAAATCAGGGACAAGACAAGGCTGCCCACTGTCTCCATATCTCTTCAACATAGTGCTGGAAGTCCTTGCTAGAGCAATAAGACAGTTGAAGGAGATCAAGGGGATACAGATGGGAAAGGAAGAAGTCAAATTATCACTATTTGCAGATGATATGATAGTATATATGAGTGACCCCCAAAACTCTACCAGGGAACTCCTACAGCTGATAAACACCTTCAGCAAAATGGCCGGATACAAAATTAACTCAAAAAATTCAGTAGCACTCCTGTATACAAAAGACAAAAGGGCTGAGAAAGAAAATAGAGAAACAACACCATTCACAATAGCCACAAATGACATATAGTACCTTGGTGTAACCCTAACCAAGCAAATCAAAGACTTGTAGCTCCACAAGGACCAAACATATCTGGGTACAGGATCTTTTCTGAGAATGACATGCAACCAAGGACCATGTATGAATGTAACCTAGATCCTCTGCTCAGATGTAGCTTGTGGTAGCTCAGTAACCAATTGGTTTCCCATAGTGAGGGGAACAAGGACTATTTCTAACAGGAACTCAATGACTGGCTCTTTGACCTCCCCACCCCCCAAGGGAGGAGCAGTCCTGCTAGGCCACAGAGGAGGGCTTTGCAGCCAGTCCTGAAGATACCTGATAAAACAGGATCAGATGAATGGGGAGGAGGTCCCCCCTATCAGTGGGCTTGGCAAGGGGCATGGTGGAGATGAGGGAGGAAGGGAGGGACTGGGAGGGAATGAGGGATCGGGACACAGCTGGGACACAGAGTTAATAAACTGTAACTGATAAGAAAAAAATAAAATTAAAAAAAAAAGAAAAAAATTTCAAGTCTCTGAAGAAAGAATTAGAGGAAGATATGAGAAGATGGAAAGATCTCCCATGCTCATGGCTTGGCAGGATTAACATTGTAAAAATGGCCATCTTACCAAAAGCAATCTACAGATTTAATGCAATTCCCATCAAATTGCCAACACAATTATTTACAGACCTGGAAAAAAAAATTCTCAACTTAGTATGGAATAACAAGAAACCAAGAATTGCTAAAACAATAAAAGATATTCTGGAGGTATCTCCATTCCTGATCTCAAGCTGTACTATAGAGCAACAGTTATAAAAACTGCATGGTACTGGCATAGAAACAGAATGGTGGATCAATGAAATCAAACAGAAGACCCAGAAATAAACCCACACACTTACGGACACCTGATTTTTGACAAAGATGCAAAAACCATACAATGGAAAAAAGATAGCATCTTCAACAAATGGTGCTGGTCCTACTGGATGTCTACATGTAGAAAAATGAAAATAGATCCATACTGATCACCCTGCACAAAACTGAAGTCCAAGTGGATCAAAGACCTCAACATAAAACCAGACACATTAAATCAGCTAGAAAAAAAAGTGGGGAATACCCTAGAACTCATTGGTACAGGGGAAAACTTCCTGAACAGAACACCAACAGCACAGGCTCTAAGAGCAACAATCAATAAATGGGACCTCATGAAATTGAAAAGCTTCTGTAAAGCAAAGGACACCGTCATCAAAACAAAGCGACTGTCTACAGATTGGGAAAGAATCATCACCAACCCTTTATCTGACAGAGGACTCATATCCAATATAAATGAAGAACTAAACAAGCTGAAAAGCAATAAACCAAGTAATCCACTTAAAAAATGGGGAACAGAGCTAAAGAGAGAATTCTCTGTAGAGGAATATCGAATGGCAGAGAACACTGAAAGAAATGTTCAACCTCATTAGCCATTAGGGAAATGCAAATCAAAACAACCCTGAGATTTCACCTTACACCCTTCAGAATGGCCAAGATGAAAAACTCAAGGGACAACACATGCTGGAGAGGTTGTGGAGAAAGGAGAACCCTTCTCCACTGCTGGTGGGAATGTAAACTGGTACAACCACTCTGGAAATCAATCTGGTGCTTTCTCAGACAACTAGGAATAGCGCTCCCTCAAGATCCAGCCATACCACTCCTAGGCATATACCCAAAAGAGGCGCAAGTACACAAAAAGGACATTTGCTCAACCATGTTTGTAGCAGCTTTATTTGTAATAGCCAGGAGCTATTACAGCCCAGATGATCCTCAACTGAAGAATGGATGCAGAAACTGTGGTACAGCCCAGATGATCCTCAACTGAAGAATGGATGCAGAAACTGTGGTACATCTATACAATGGAGTATTACTCAGCAATGAAAAATAAGGAAATCATGAAATTTGCAGGTAAATGGTGGGACCTGGAAAGGATCATCCTGAGTGAGTTGTCCCAGAAGCAAAAAGACACGCATGGTATATACTCACTCATATAAACATACAATATAGAATAAACCCACTAAAATCTGTATATCTAAACAAACTAAGCAAAAGAGAGGACCCTAACTAAAATGTTCAATCCCCATCCTGAAAGGCAAAGAGGATGGACATCAGAAGAAAAAGAAAATAGGAAACAACCTCGGAACCTGCTACAAAGGGCCTCTGAAAGCCAGAAGAAAACAGGAAACAACCTTGAAACCTGCCACAAAGGGCCTCTGAAAGCTTCTGCAGTATAGACTGTCAAAGCAGATGCTGAGCCTGATGGCCAACTGACGGGCAGAGTGAATGGAATTTTATGTAAGAAGTGGGAAATAGTAAGAGCTGGAGGGGACGGGAACTCCACAAGGAGAGCAACAGAACAAGATAATTTGAACACAGGGAACTTCCCAGAAAATCATACTCCAACCAAGGACTATTCCTGGAGATGACCTGGAACCCCTGCACAGGTGTAGCCCATGGCAGTTCAATGTCCAAGTGGGTTACCTAGTTATGGGAAGAGGGACTGCCTCTGACATAATCTGATTGGCCTGCTCGTTGATCACTCCCCCCTGAGGGGGGAGCAGCCTTACCAGGCCACAGTAGAGGACAATGCAGCCACTTTTGATGAGAACTGATAGACTAAGATCAGAAAGAAGAGGAGAACCTCCCCTATCAGTGGACTTAGGGAGTGGCATGCATGCAGAAAGGGGAGGGAGGGTGGGATCGGGAGGGGAGGAGGGAGGGGCTTATGGGGGGATACAAAATTAATAAAGTGTAATTAATAAAAAATTTAAAAAAAATTAAAAAATAAAAAAGACAGGCCTGAAGTAGGGCCCACATCCTTTCTGGGCTAAGTAACCCTACTTTATACTCACAACCCCAACAGGAAAGGCCAGCACAGCCAACGTCCAGTCCCGGAGAGAGATGAGCTTCCGAAGCTGTCGTTCTTGCTCCTGGTTCCCACTGCCTCTAGTCAGAAGACTGGAAAGATCAGTCAGCACACAGATGCCGAAGAAAACGGCTTGGATAACCTGCAAGGAGACAATCACCAGAACTGGTCAACAGGAGCTACAAACTAGAACACAAAGCCAGCTGTGTGTCTGCACTCTGACACTTGAAGAGAATATGTCCAAAACCCAATTACAGAACTCACCCTGTAAATGAAAACTTGATTATTTATTTATTTTTTTATTATTTTACAAGTTAAAATAAATCAGAAGACTCATCTTAAAAACACTATCCTGTCTCTTCCTCGCTGAGGGCTCATCACAGAAGATGGGGTGGGAAGACTGTCAGAGCCAGAGATGTGGGAAAACTGCTGCAAAGCAGCACCTTCTCTACATGACAGAGCCGCTGCAGTCATGAGCTCATAGTGGCAAAAAACCTTCAGATCAAGCCAATCAAAGTTCTAGCATAAAAAGGGGAGGATCTCATAAGTCCTACCCTTAGCTGAGACAGCTGAAGGCTGCTGGGGCAGGGGGAGTCAGTTCTCTTCTGGGGTACCCCTGGTGTTTTACCCATGCTCCAGTGGATGGCCTCACATCCATGCCCATAGAGGCAGCAGTGGCTGCATGGATGTGGTAGTTTGAATGAGAAGACCCTCTTGGGTGAATGTTTGAATGCTTGGTCAGAAATTGGTGAAACTTTTGGAGAAAGATTAGGCAGTGTGGCCTTGTTAGAGAAGGTGTGTCACTGGAGATGAGCTTTGAGGTTTTAATACCCTACACCAGGCCCAGTCTCTCTCCTCTCTCTCTCTCTCTCTTGCGTGTTGCCATGCTTCCAGCCATGATGGTCATGGACAAACCCTTTGACAGTGTAAGTAAGCCCAACTGAATGCTCTCATTTATAAGTTGCCTTCATTACAGTACTGTGACATAGCGATACTAAAGTAACTAAGACAGTTATACAGAGTTGACAGAGAAATGAGGAGTCGGAGAGGACATGAAGGCAGATATAATCAAAATACACAGGTGAGTTCTCAGAAATAAAATTTTAAATTATTCTATCTTAAAAGACCTGCCATCAATCTGCCATAACAGGGAATTTGAATAAATGATTCAAAATGGTAAAATAAAAAACAACAAAAAAGAACCCCAGTACTTCCATTTTCATTCTTCTTGGGACAATGAAGCTGCACACACACACACACACACCATATAAACTGAACAGAATGAATATTAATTATCAAACTGGCATATGCATTACTTTAAAGTTCACATATGTGGTCTGTTTCTACTCACAAGTGATGTCTAGCAAATGCCTAAGGAGCAAATGCAAAAGGACGAACACCATATGAATTACAAGCCCAGTGTGGAGAAATTATGTGATTTAAACTTTTGGATTTAGGCATTTTTCTGCCACAGGATAGAAAGCAATAAGTTGGGAACAAAAATCTGCTCTGATGGGACCAAATTTCTACTGTGAAGACTGAATTAAATGGCTACCTTTGGTTGTTAGTACCTATGAAATCAAATCTTTCCAAAGTAATGTAGAGATACTATGACCACCTTCTCCACATGTTTAGCAGTTTTACATTCCTGAATCATTACAAATGGAATCATTCACAACAGCCATATTTCACTTGGACCAGGGCACGGTAAGAACCATGAAGCAGTACAAACCAATAACTTGTCAGTTTCCTGAAGCAGGGTCAAAGTTGTGGACATTGAGTGCAGGCAGTGCACCATGGCAGAGCTAAAGGAAATTACAGAGAAGGCATAAAATATATTCCTGGGCTCTGATCTTACCTATTCAACACCAAAGATAGAATCAAAATTTTTTGACTTTTTTTTCACATAGAAATAACTTACTAGTGACTTATTTTTAAATGATACAGTTCTCCTTAGTTTACTGACCATGACAAATATTTCAGAGAGGAAACGGCATTTTCACATTGGCAGTGGGTAGAGTGGGATGAGTTTTGTGGATGGGTTCTCAGTTGGGCACAGAATAAGGCTTTGGAAGTTCCTAAGAACATCTGGTTCCAGCTGTGAGCACAGCTCTGTAGCACACATATTGTTGGTAGAGTAGGCTTTGGGGAGCTCCCCAAAACCCTGCTATCACTAGTCAACCAAAGCCACAGTCATGCTCCACTTTTCCTCATCATTTGAACTGGTTTTAGCCTCCGTGGCTTAGAGTCTGCGGTCATTTTATAAACAGCCAGAGTAATGGATTCTGAGATGCCACGGGTAAGGAGAAAGCAGAGAGGCATCGGGTTCTGATAGCCAGAGATGAATGACTCAGAGAACCGTTCCAGACTTAGGACATTCCTCAAGTCTGTCAGCCCTCATGGAGTGTGAGACATTAGTGAGCACACCAGAGAATGATACCTGCTGTGACTGTTAGTCAGCATCCAGTGTCCTGTGTGACCAATACCTACGAGAATTCAAACTAAGACTACAATGAGATGGCATTTGTCATCAAAATCAATACACAAACAATTCTAGCTCAACTAGAAAGCCTATAGTGGGAGCACAACCTGGACAAACACCAAGGAATGGCAGAGAACATCTACAAGTGCAGGGACCCCTGTGACCTCTTGTTCTGGTGACTCTACTAGGAAGGGGATTCAGTAAAGCAGTGATTCATGCCCTTTCACCAGGGTCACCTAAAATCATCAGAAAATACAGATCTTTACATTGTGATTCATAACGTAGCAAAATTACAGTTATGAAGTCACAACCCAAACAATTTAATGGTTGGGGTCACCACAGCATGAGGAACTGTATTAAAGGGCCACAGTATTAGCAAGGTTGAGAGCACTGCCCTACAGAAATTGTGGTATATATGAGGAGTCATACCTGGTAACAGGCTATTTCAGCATTCACTGTTTTACCAGAGGTGAAGCAAATCTGGACTGAAGAAACTGTGCTAGATTTATAAAACGGAACTCTCTGATCATAACAAAAATAGCTTTCAGTCTTTACAACAAACATGGAACTCTAAAGAGAAGCAAGAACTAGCCTATTCTGATACTATTGAAATAAATTGTGAAAGATGCAAATATCCACGCACAGTCACCAGAGGAGGAAGACACACATGGAGATTAACAACACTGCGCTCGGACTGGAGAGAGGATCTGTGTTAGGACAACTGGCTGCTCTGCTGCTGGACCTGAGTTTGGACATCAGCATCCATAACTGCCTGTTACTCCAGGTCCTGAGAATCCAATGCTCTCTCTGGTCTCTGTGGGCACACACATGTGGTGTTCGCTCAAACACACACACACACAAAACATGTAAATAAAAATAAAACTATATAACAGCACTAAATTCAGGCACCTCTGAAAAGGAAGAGACTGAAGAGGAACATCAGAGCTCCAACTGTGTTGACAATATTTAATTTCTTAAATTTTTATTGAGTATACTGAAACTATGTCATTTTTACTGTATTTCTGTTCGTATTTTTGGTATCCTATGCTAACCTATCAGTCCTTTCCTTCTAACCCTGCCTTCTCTAATTTTAAGAGCAGAATAGTAATGGCAGGTTTAGGCTCAAGAAGCCAAGCATTGCACTGTATCTAAAAATCCTTTCCTACAGGCAAAGAACATGGAAATTTGGTTTGGTTCCAATGAGGCATACAGATCTGGAAATCACTCACTTATGTTATATAACCCAAGAAACAAGGAAATCCACCCAGTATACAGAGGCAAGGGAAAAGATCCAGTTTAAACGTCCATCATATTTTGCACACATGAATTCACTACTTCACTTTAAAACTCTAGATCTAGACAGTAGTACCCTTGGTGCCTTCTTTTGATGAGCTAACATAGAATGTTTGGGCTTTTCCTGTAAGTACATGAGTCAATTTTTTCAAACACAGATGGTAAGACTTTTGTGATTATCAGTTATATAAATTAAGCATACCTCACTTATCCATGTGCTCCAAAATGAGAAAGATCTGAGTGTCACCCTGACACCAAGGTGGTAAATGCCACACTTGACTTCATCTGAAGGGTCAGTATCAAAATCCAAATCTGCAGCATCCCCAAGGGGAAAAGACACTCTAAAATCCTTCATCTGTGATGCATAAACTGTATTAGCTAAATACACAAAGCACATAAAAATGGACTCTGTGTGAGACATTTTTCCATCCTCAGACCAGGTGATTATATATACATCATGTATATAAAAACACTCCAAAAACAAAGCAGAACAAAATATCGAAAACAATCCCAGTTCCAAGCATTTTTTGATATGGCATATTCAACCTGCATCACATAAAAAACTGATACTGTTAAATATGAGGCTGAGCGGAGGACTTTATGTAAATAAATGACTAGCTGATATGGGGGAAGCATACTTTTATGATGTTATCAAGGGAAGAGGAAGAGGAGAAAAGTAGAAAATAAAAAAGAAAGAGAAAAAAACAGAAACTCGTATTCTAGGAGAGGAGAAAACCAAAAGAATTTCTACAAATAGACATGCAATAAATAGTATGTGGTAGCTTATATCAAAATTTGACAAAACTAGAGAAGGGAGACGAGTATCCGAGCACATCTGTGAGACAGTATCTAGATTAGGCTAATTGAGGTTGGAGATTCACCCTAAATGTAGGTGCCACAATACCACGGGCCAGGGTCCTGGACCAAACACAATGGACACAGTGAGCTGGCACCAGCCTTCAGCTTTGATTCTTGCCTATGACTGCAAAACTAAACCCTTCTTTCTTAAATGCTTCTGTCAGATACTTTGTTGCAATGATGAGAAAAGTAATTAATACATTTCCTAAATAACATCTTTCAGAATTTGTATGACTAATAGCATGCAGAAATGAAGTGTATTCTCGCCTTATGCAATGTGTAACCTGACAATCTGCCCCCTCACAAACACTCAGTGGCTTCCCTGTGTCTCTTTGTAGTACTCTCAGTCACCTCTCTCCAGCTTGCACACGGTGACCAAAATCTCACCAGAAATGCTATGAGCAGTGAGGATGCACAGTGAGGAGAAAGAGGCAGTACAAAGCCGTTTCCTTGTGTTTAAGCTCAAGAAAAAGAAGGAAGAACTTGGTGAATTGTTACTGTTTTCTTCA